TTTTGTCTCGTCGGGCTGATCCGGGTAAATCAAAATTTATTATTTGATTGGCTGTTGGTCACGTGAACACACCTGGCCCCTCCTTTCGTGATTAGCTAATGACACTATGTTTTTGAAATATTCAATTTCTTCCAAATCCTGTAGCTTTTTTAATGGTGTATTCATTGGCTTTCCTGTTAATGATTTGAATTCTTCAAGCACCCAGAACCAGCTGCTTGAACCTTTCCCAGGCTTTAACGTACAGTTTCCATTGATTTCTCTGTGGACTCGATAGCAGACGGAAATTAACCTTGCTTCCATCATGATCTTTAAAATCAGTCTTTTAATTCGGTTGACTGTTTAAGATTGTGTATCGTGGTAGTATACTATCTTTACGCGAATTAACGCCCATAATGACAAATAGTTTAAAGAGAGTCATAATTAATTTATTCGAGTGCGGATCATGATTTTTTGTTACTAAAAGTCTTTGGCTAAATTAATTATTAGTTCTCTTCAAACTACATGTCCCTAAATAACTCCCATGGGCGTTAATTCGTGCAAACACGGACGAGATTTTATTCTGACCCATTGAGCGATGACCGTGTCTATTTCATTAAGGCCGTTCAGAGTTGAATAGTTATTTAACCCTCTCAGTCAGCCGCCCCTCCGAAATTAAACATGTGATAAAAGTTGACAAATAAGATTTAGTTAAACATATTTTTGTTTAAATTCTCCCCGAGCTCAAAATATTGGTGTTAAATAACTACCGTATTTGCGCGAAATAACGCCCGGTTTATTTCGCGCAAATACGGTAATAAACTTCGAATAACCTAATTTGTTTTTGTTTTGGTGGCATTAAATAGATAGCATACCATAACCTAGATAGAAGAAAGAAGCTGACAATCGGGATATACCCCTTAAAAGATAAATTTCGTCGCAAGTAATTCCTCTATTAATCTTTCTATTTTTAGCGCCATGTTTTTTCACAAATTTCTTTTGGGGTTTCCTTGTGTATCGAATGTGTACCAGAGAATTATTGTCACATTATTTTTGTTTCCTATGACAAGTAATCTATTACTACCTCATTTCTAGTTTCTTTAGATATTGATAATTAGGATGTTAAATCGAACCAAACAAAGTCACATGACGCTTAAATACTGAAAATAGTTAGTCTAATTTTTTATAGACTTAAAGTCTCCTCATCATATTAAACACAATTAAATTAGGTTATACGTACGCTTCACTATTGTCACATTTCATAATAGGTCATTTGGTCAAAGCTTTAGCGTAAGACATTGTCGATTCGCGTTACGTATCAAAAATGATTGATTATCGATTTTCGTGTGAGAGGGTACAAAACTGAAACAGCGGAAAAGTATACGAGAGATGGGGTATACAATCACATGACTTAATTTTTTTTAATGCCAAATAAGAGAACAAATTCTGATATTGTTGTAATAACTTCTTAACTGTATAAAAAAAAAAAAAAAGATTTATTATCTAAACGAACAAAGTTTTAATTAATAACACGCTCGCTGGCGAGACAACTCCCACACCGCCAACCTTCATCACTCTCTATACAGGTTTGTTAAGTAGCAAATTTGTCAGTGTTAAGTAGTTGTTACTAATACGCTGACACTTACACACTTGTACTCCCTTTACCGTAACATTAAAAAGAAATACGGTCGTCAATTTGCCACGCGGTTCGGGCTGTCAAACAAACATATCTATTACCCTTATAAACAACTTAACAAATTGATCAGAAAAGCAACTATATGTAATAATGAGTAGAGTACTCAGAAGAACACCAAGTTCAGGAACAATGCAAAGTAACATTTCATCAATCGAAGCTCCCAGTATAATGAGTGGAAATACACTAAATCGACCAGCTCAAGCATCACAATCATTATATCCCTTATGTCGAGATCTTTTAGGAAGACTTTATTGTGTGGAAGGATTTGAACAGTATTTATTGCAAGGACAAAGAACTATGCCGAGTAACGGCTCATTAGTTGGAACTCCGACATCAGAAAATGGCCCTAGTAGTTTAGTTCTTAAATACGATCCTGTAACGCTTCTATGGCAGACTTTTCGGTTAGGTTATCCTCTTTGTGCGCTTTTTAATGCTTTGAACCCTCAAGAACCATTAAGGATTGATGATTCAAAACCTGCGAAAGCTAGTGTATATAACTTTTTGGTTGCTTGTCGGAAAGAATTTGAATTAAAACCAGAACAAGTGTTTTCAATCACACAATTGTATCAAGATGATACGAATGGTTTCGTTATGGTACGTGGAAAGCTATCTACTATCTGTTGAATTATGATGCTATATATTTGTTCTAGTTACCCTAGTGTTATTTTAAATTTTGTCTTTAATTAAAAAAATCAATAGAATATGTATTAGATTTAAAACTTGTATTTAATTTTAATTTAAATCCCTATAATATCTATAGTATTTATAATATATATAATATCTATAATTCTATATTATTTATATTATCCATTATCTGTATTATATTATCTGTATTATTGTTAGGTCATTAATACAGTAAAACTAGTAACTGATAAAATTGAAGAGAAAGGTCTTCTTAATTTATCTCGAAAGAAAGATTTGGTAAGATCAGATCCCATGAAACCCACTGATAATCGAGCCAGGGTAGTGCATGAATTATTAGAAACTGAAAGAAAATATGTTCAGGATATGGAAGTTTTACAGGTATTTAATACATATATATATATATATATATATATATTGAATTATTATGTGTATATATATTTTTTTTAAAGTTTATTTGACATTTATAAATTTCTTATTTAGAATTACGCTAGAGAGCTTCAGAATCAATACATTGTTAGCGCAGATACCATTCATTTACTCTTCGCTAACCTCAATCAATTAGTTGATTTTCAACGCCGTTTCCTTATTGGTGTGGAAGCTACGTCTAGTGCAAGTCCGGAAGAGCAGAGTTTTGGTAGTCTATTTATACAAATGGTATTTTATTTAATATAATATAATTTTGTTATAATTAAACATGTATGAATATTATCAATTATCATAATTTAAATAATTTGGGCGTATAAAATTTACATTTCCAGATTATTTATACTTATGATAACTGATAATATTATGTATGAATAATTTTAAATATGAATAATTTGAAACAAATACATAAATAAATTAAATAGGAGGAAAATTTTGCAGTTTATGAACCATTCTGCGCAAATTATCAATCTGCTTCAGACCTGGTTATTCAAGAACTACCGAGCCTTCAAGTAATATTCTAATATAATTAATGGTATTTAATAATATTTGCAAATTTTAATTTTTTATTTTTTTTTTTAAAAAAAAACAAAAATAGAAATTAGCTCATATTGTTGAACCAACATATGAGCTACCATCATTATTAATTAAGCCTATTCAACGTATTTGTAAATACCCATTATTATTGCAGGTACTTATAGAATTTGTATTTAAAGTAAAAAGAAGAAAAAAAAAAAAAAGGTTTTATTATTTTATATTAATAAGTCACTTGAATGATTATATAGGAATTACTAAAATTTACTGATAAAGAGGATATACATTATGAGGAAATTAAATGCGGTCTCAACGCAATCAAACGTGTTGCTGATCGTGTAAATGAAACTCGACGTCAACAAGAAAATGCTGCCGTTGTTAAAGATTTGGAACGCCGTGTAGAAGATTGGAAAGGTCATCGAATTGAGCAATTTGGTGAACTTTTACTTGAAGATGTATTCACTATGTCTAAAGATGATTCTGAGCGCGAATATCATGTATATTTATTTGAGAAGATTCTACTTTGTTGTAAAGAAACAAATGCAAAAAAACAACAAAGTAAATCACAACTTCTTAAAAATAATAATCGAAAATCTAAAAGAGCTAGCTTGCAATTAAAAGGAAGAATATTTATACACAATATTACCGCTGCGGTAGACAACAGTCGGTCTGGATGTATGTTGTTGAATTTATATAAAAAATAATTTCCTGCTTTTAATTATTACTATTATTTTAATGTTTCATGTTTAAAATTTTAGTGTGGTCTTTAAAAGTATACTGGCGAGGTGATAGTGAGATGGAATCTTTCTCTCTCAAATGTCGAAATGAGGAACAACTTAAACAATGGAAATCCACGTTAGAAAAATTATTAACAGATTCAGGAAATAATAACAATCGACATACTATGACGAAAGGACAATTCGATAATAATGCAACTACTCCCTCGAAACGCACCGGGGTATCTAATACACAATTGGCATCCTTACAGAACCTTGACCTTCCTTACTTTCGCCGAGATGGCGACACTGACTCATTCATCGACGATGAAGATGAATGTGAAGACGACGATGAAGACGAACCGGATGACTTTGTTGTTGGTTATAGTAATAAGCTAAAAAGTCAATCATTACCTTATGGTCAATTACCTTCTTCATATCATGAGAAGGGTAGACCGAAAACCAATGATTCTGTAGCACCACCCCCTTATGCTTGGGATCCAAATTCACCACCAATACCACCCGTTATGCCAAATTCACATTTGCAACATCGATCACAATCAAGTTCATCACTTCAAACTATGGCACGTAATGGACTTTCAACCGCACCTCCAACCATGGCTACATTCCCCTCAAATGCAATTATGCAGATGGAAAATACGGGATACTATCCGAATTCTCCACCACCATCGTATCCTGGTTCACCAGCTCCATCTACTCGTAGTAGTGCGACATCACATTCCAGTTCTAATCATATGAGTATATGGCAACGTAGAAGTGTTGAACATCCATCACCTCTTGCAGGTACTATTGCCAAATTTATGATGAATGAAGACGAAGAACAGAATAATATTCATCCACCACCAATCCAACGTTCTCATTCTCATAGTGCAGCCGCAGGTCAAACATTTCAGCAAACTAATGGACCTGTACCAAATGTGCCAACTCATAATGTCGTAAATCGTCTACGATCACAAAGTAGTCCAAATATCCAAGCCATTCAGGAATTACAACTTGAAAATATGGCGGAACCTGTGCCTAGTATTCCAAATTCTAGCAATCCGGCACGTCAAAATGTTAATAATGGGCTTCAATCAATAGAAATAGAACAACGAAATAGTGGATCAAGCAATTCTTCACAAACATCAGGACAATCTATACATACTACTAATGCAATTAATGCAACTAATGCAACTAATACAACTAATTCACCTATAAGTAATGCTTTGTCAACACAAAATGAACAAAAGAAGAGTCATCAACATTCATTGTCTAATTATGCTACTACAATGAAAATTAAAGTGAACTTTGCAGATGATGTCTTTGTGATAGTTGTCCCTCAAGATATTGAATACAGAGAGCTATGTGATCGTGTAGAACGGAAAATACGGTTATGTTCTACACGACGGGACGAAAGTGTTCCCATTCGAATCAGATACCAAGATGAGGATGGTGATCACATCACAATTAATTCTGATGAAGATGTTTCAATGGCATTCGAAGGTAGACTAGCTGCGGGAGGAAATTTTGTTAATTTATATGTAAGCTGAGTTTAAAGTTTGATCATAACGATAATCAGAGATGTTAAGTTGTTCTATGAATCCGGACCAGAAATAGACCAATCCCCTAATTTCCGAAAAAAATTTCCGAAAAAAAATTAACTGCGTTCTGGTCTAAACTAGTTAGTAGTTTGTGACTAGTTTGATAATAAATTACATAATTTCAAATTTCAATAAATATTACTAATAACATTTTAATAAATTATTTGTTTGATATAAATAAAAAATTATCCCATTCTATTAAAAAAAAAAAAAAAAAATTTTAAATTTACCAAAATGAGCGAAACTTTGTTATGGTTTTGATATGCTTTTGATATGCTAGAAAATTTTTTCATAATAACGATATGTTTTTGAATCTGAATTCGATAATGAATTTTCAAGAATGCACATCACCTTTGTCAATCAATATCTTAAGTCTCCGGACCAAAGATCAAAAAGTATTTTGTGTCGACCTGGAACATAAAAAGACCACTGAAACAATTACGATAAAATGTCATTCTGAAAGATACCACTCCCCAAGGATACGTATAATTAATGTTAATAATTGCCAAATATAGGGGTCGTCTAAAGCGGAGGCACATCATGTGATCAACAGCCAATCAAATGATAGAATTTTGATGATCGCCAGCGA